GCTGTCTATCATTGGGATTCAATAATAGAGTTGGTAGTGGTATGCTCGCAGGCTTCGCCTTGAGTTTGGCACTCTTGACATTTGTGTTGCGAGCTTTGATGTTGTTGAGAACAGAATTTACACTTTGGAGGGTTTTTGCAGTACTTGAGAGGGTGTCCGTTTTCCTGGCATCTACTACATCGGGGTTTTCTTGACTTGTTCCGTAGGTGTTCAACTCTAGCACTGATTCCTGCAAGGTTGAGTCTGTTCCTTTGTGCTCTTATTGCTTGGCTTTCTTCCTTAAAAGCTACAACGATAGATCCTTGGTGTTGTAGGCCGCTGTCTCGTTTGTCTTTGGAGGTAAGCCAGTGAGGGGTTTCGTCAATTTGTAGGTTGAGGGTCTTGTTAAAAGTGAGAATCTCATCTTTAAGTTGTACAAGGCCTGTGGGAGAGTTGAATTCCCTGATTGGGATGCCGTGAATTACTACTTGGTATCTGGTAGTATCTACTCTTGCTTCTTTGAATTTGATTATCCCCTTGATAGCTTCAATTCTGTCTAGAAGGAATTGGGCATTATACTCTTCTACTGCTGTGAGGACAAGATTGTTGCTTTGTGATCTTGAGATTGTGCTGATTACAGGGCTAATGTTGAAACGAGTTTTGAAGACCTTGTTGATTGCGTCTTGGAGAGTGAGTAGCTGTAGGTCTCCTCCAAATGGTTGGAGGTAGTCTTCGATGAGAATCAGTCGTTGGGCTTTTATTGCTTCCTTTCTCTCCTTATTCGCTTTCTTACGGGCATCTCTGTTCTTTTGTTGGTCTGTTTTCTGGGGAGGGGTATGGTTGAGTTGCGCGTCGATAAGGCTTTGAGTGCTGTTGTCTATGGTTGGTTGATTGTTCGCGGTTACAGAGGCATAGCTTGTTTTAGGAAGACGCTTTGCAATGTCCTCTAGATTGTTGACTGAATTCGTAAGAGTGGTGATTGTGTTTTCAAGAGGTTTTCCCTCGGTGTAATCCCGGAAGAGGTTGAGTAGGTCTATGAGGGCAAGTTTTTTGGGCTGGTTATCTTCGAGCTCAATTGCTTTACAGAGAAGGGACCTAGATGCTACAATTGCGTCATCAGAGGTTTCTGGGTGGGACATCAGAGCGTATTTTGAGGTCAAGTTTAGGGATTGGTTGCTTCTTGCCCTTTTGGCT